ATAATAATAATAATAATAATAATAATAATAATAATAATAATAATAATGTCATCACAATGTCAGGACTGTATGTTTCCATACAATGGCGAAATTAGTCTCTGCATTTAACCCATCCACCACCAGGTGGTGCAGTGGGCAGCTATTGAAGGCGCCCGGGGGGCACTTTGGGGATGAGGTGTGCTGCCCAGAGACACCATGTGATGTGCAGTGACTGGGGATCGAACCTGGGACTTTCGAGTCCCAAGCCGGCTGCCCTGCCTCTACACCATCTTGGCCCCCAAATGACAAATATGCAGTCGTCGTGATCTTAAACCAGCCTGGACATCCTGCATTAGTGCTCGGCACGTCTTTACACATTCTTGAAGTCAATAAGAAGTATTATGCCGAGTCTTTACACATTCTTGAAGTCAGTAAGAAGTATTATTTAATGTTTACCTGATTGTTGTCATACAGAGCGTGGCTGCTCAGACACATGGACTTCTCGTACCCCGCCCACCGGCGCAGCTCCCTCTCAAACAGCTGCAGAGAGCATCACAGAAGGAACCTGAACGAAGCCCGGCAAAATGCCGACAGAGGCCAATCAGAGAGACTCACCTTGGATCCGGTCCAACCCAGCAGAGCAAAAGCAAACTGGCTGATTGGAGAGACCACCAGGTCCACCCTCACAGCTCTCCACCGTCTGTCTGCAGCTGCAGTCTGCTCAGGACGACTCGACTCATCTGACTTCTGCTCTCCTTCAGCTTGCACATCGTTTACCATCACATCCTGAGGAGCTTCGGCTGCTTGTTTTTCCGTCCTGAGCAGTTTAAATATGGACAAACATCTCTCGAAGCGGTCCATGCTGGACGGAGGGCGACCAGGACCCTCCTTGGACTCCAGGTAAGAGTTTCTTGTAGTTTTCTGGTACAACAGGAAACCCTGACAGAAAAAATAAACACCTAGCATTCCTTGACACAGCAGCACCTTTAACGCCAGTTTTAGTCTAAGATCATCGCTGAGGTGCCAGCACATCAATCTTCAGCTCAGTACCAGAATATCTGACTAAGTTATGATTCATTCTGTGTTTGCTTAGGTCAATCATCTGCGGCGGCCATGTTGGACTGAAAGATCAGTAGATGTACAACCAGCGATTAATTTCAGAGAGTTTCATTAAAATTTGTCCCGTCGTTCACTGGATATTTTACAAGATGAGGAATTTAATGGAATGTTGTCAGAGACGTTCCTAAAAAAGTTGTGTGGTAAAAACATGTCGGCACAAAACGGTTGTGAGTTGTCGGTGAATGGAGTGGACGAAGAGCACAGATCTGCCGGCAGCGCACTCCTGAGTCTGAGGCATTTCCAACTTCACAAGTGTTTAATAAAATAATTACAGTCAATACAGAGACACTCAGGAGCTTGGCAGAGACTAGTTTTACTTTTTAAATAACTGATGTGTACTCTGCACAGCAATAAAGTGTTTCAGCCACGGTGGGGGGGTGGGGGGGGTTATATATCAGGGCATCATATGAATGAGGCAGTACTATAGTCTACGTGCTAGGCTAGTATACGGCGTCTAGCCAATTAAAAATGCCCAATGATACGTAATGTTCCCTCTTTGCTGCACAGATTGGGCAACTGGGCAAATGTCCAAGCAGAATATCTATTTATCTCCTGCTTTATAATAACTTTTATAATGAACTGTCAGCCCGAGCGCAGCGGTCTCTACAGTCTGTCTGTGTGCAACGTATGATTCGCGTGCCGAGTGGAGGAAGGACACACCCCCCAGACCAAAACAAACATGTGTCACATGATTTGTGTAGCGACAACGGAAGTTTACGAAGAGGTAAAAAAATTCAACCAATGAAGTCACAGGTAAACTTTCATTCCAGCCAATCAGCTCCTTCTGGAGTTTCTGCGCTGACGTGCCAAGAAGCTAAGTAGCAACAAGCAACCTCCTTGTCTTCTATACTGCAAATTTCATCACATACCGAGGCATAATATTTGGCTTTGTGGATTTATTACAGAAGTTTACGGTCGTACGACGTCAAACATAGATAGGTGGTAAGTAAGCTAATCCCACGACTTGTAGCTGTTTTTATCATGCTAAGAGTTAGCAAGCAGTAGCTCACTGTGTATATCTGGTTGGGACTAAACCGATTTTGTACAGGTCCTTCTCAAAAAATTTGCACATTGTGATAAAGGTCATTATTTTCCATAATGTAATGATAAAAATGAAACTTTCATATATTTCAGATTCATTGCACACCAACTGAAATATTTCAGGTCTTTAATTGTTTTAATACTGATGATTATGGCATACAGCTCATGAAAACCCAAAATGCCTGTCCCAAAAAATTAGCATATTTCATCCCACCAATGAAAGACAAGTGTTTTTAATACAAAAAACACCAACCTTCAAATAATCATGTTCAGTTATGCACTCAATACTTGGTCGGGAATCCTTTTGCATGAATGACTGCTTCAATGCGGCGTGGCATGGAGGCAATCAGCCTGTGGCACTGCTGAGGTGTTATGGAGACCCAGGATGCTTCGATAGCGGCCTTAAGCTCATCCAGAGTGTTGGGTCTTGCATCTCTCAACTTTCTCTTCACAATATCCCACAGGTTCTCTATGGGGTTCAGGTCAGGAGAGTTGGCAGGCCAATTGAGCACAGTAGTACCATGGTCAGTAAACCATTTACCAGTGGTTTTGGCACTGTGAGCAGGTGCCAGGTCGTGCTGAAAAATGAAATCTTCATCTCCATAAAGCTTTTCAGCAGATGGAAGCATGAAGTGCTCCAAAATCTCCTGATAGCTAGCTGCATTGACCCTGCGCTTGATAAAACACAGTGGACCAACACCAGCAGATGACATGACACCCCAGACCATCACTGACTGTGGGTGCTTCACACTGGACTTCTGGCATTTTGGCATTTCCTTCTCCCCAGTCTTCCTCCAGACTCTGGCACCTTGATTTCCGAATGACATGCAGAATTTGCTTTCATCCGAAAAAAGTACTTTGGACCACTGAGCAACAGTCCAGTGCTGCTTCTATGTAGCCCAGGTCAGGCGCTTCTGCCGCTGTTTCTGGTTCAAAAGTGGCTTGACCTGGGGAATGCGGCACCTGTAGCCTATTTCCTGCACACGCCTGTGCACGGTGGCTCTGGATGTTTCTACTCCAGACTCAGTCCACTGCTTCCGCAGGTCCCCCAAGGTCTGGAATCGGCCCTTCTCCACAATCCTCCTCAGGGTCCGGTCACCTCTTCTCGTTGTGCAGCGTTTTCTGCCACACTTTTCCCTTCCCACAGACTTCCCACTGAGGTGCCTTGATACATCACTCTGGGAACAGCCTATTTGTTCAGCAATTTCTTTCTGTGTCTTACCCTCTTGCTTGAGGGTGTCAATGATGGCCTTCTGGACAGCAGTCAGGTCGGCAGTCTTACCCATGATTGTGGTTTTGAGTAATGAACAAGGCTGGGAGTTTTTAAAAGCCTCAGGAATCTTTTGCAGGTGTTTAGAGTTACGTTGTTGATTCAGATGGTTAGGTTAATAGCTTGTTTAGAGAACCTTTTCATGATATGCTAATTTTTTGGGACAGGCATTTTGGGTTTTCATGAGCTGTATGCCATAATCATCAGTATTAAAACAATTAAAGACCTGAAATATTTCAGTTGGTGTGCAATGAATCTGAAATATATGAAAGTTTCATTTTTATCATTACATTATGGAAAATAATGACCTTTATCACAATATGCTAATTTTTTTAGAAGGACCTGTACAAAGTGTTTAATAGTTCAAGTTCAAGTTGTGTTTATTTGTTATATGCAAGGTCAACACAAGGTCATCAGTACAATAAAATGCTCTGGATGAGAAGAACCGATATGACTCAGTAAAAAAACAAGAAATAAGGAAATGCAATAAGGGTACAAAAATAAAGTACCGGTACCAAAAAGTGCAAAAGTAATTATAATATTTACAAGGTCCTAAAGAAAAAATAGTAAACAACAACATGGTAGAATATAACGGTGCAAGCAGGATGAATTTGTATGAATAAGTATTGCAAGGTAGTAACATAAGCTAAAATGCATGTGCTGTATATTGCACATAGCTAACATACCATTTCACATCCCAGTATACCCACTACAAAAATGTAGAGTACACCACAGGAATGAGGGGTTCCATCCAGCTGGCATGGATCAAGGTCGACTGAGAAATTCCTGATCAGGAATACTGATCAACTACCCACGACCTTACGCAGCTATTTATGGACATGTCAGTGTCTCACCTCGTGGATCTGAGGAATCATTTCAGTGAATGAATTCATTTGTTGATCTTCTCGGTGAGAGTGGAAGTCCCTGAGACAATGCGCACACTTTCTGTCTGTGAGCCTCGCAGGCGTGCGATTACATTTACATGTGACAAAAAAATACAAGAAACTTTAGAGTTTACACTGGAATCAAGTGATTTTGATCCTTTTTTAGGTGTGTTATATGTTTTTGAGGTTAACTGTAGTTCGGTTTCTTTGCTTGGACTTAAACCATAAATGCTCAAATTTGTGAAAAAAACATAACGACTTCAAAACGAAGGCAAAAATCTTTGTTGTGATGTTTAAAAGTTGTTATAAAGGTTTGAGTGTTTCTGTTCTATGTCTTATACAAAGTGGAGGTGTGCAGGAAACATGATGATGATGCAGCTACCTTTGACTGCAGCCAGGAGAGCACTTTAGGCAAGAGTCCCACCTCCCTGCCCTCCTCTGGGTGTGTTATCAAGAAGTCAACATCATGACCGCTCGGCTTCCCCCTGGGAAAAAAACAACTCATATTTGTAGTTTCTGGCTGCACAAACGTTCACGTTATTTTCGAGCCGATAAATAACAGATAAAGCGTCACGAAAGCATCATTAGATCCAGTGGAAGCAGATGTTTGACCGTTTTACCTCCTGAAGCCTCCGGTCATGACCACCTGAGCTCGTGGTAACACGGAGGCCACCGCTTTCTTCACGAGCTCCTCGATGGCTGCGGCCTCGGTCTTTGAGACTGGCTGGTTGATATCATCGTAATGCTCCAGGCCTGCAAGACGACGGACTCACTTTTAACATCACAGTTCCAGTGTATTCAACAAAAAATGCATAATTAAAAAGTGTTAAAATGTCAGCTGTACAAAGGCTGACAGCTGAAACTGATCTACAACCTGGATTTGATTTGGAACTGGTGTTTTAAACAAACTGAAACTTTTTTTACACAAACCTGCCCGCTGCGCCCGATTTAATGCGTGTCCTGAATCTCGTAGCTGACGGAGGTCGTGTATCCCCTCTCTGATCCATCGGTCAGCTGTTTTTGCTCCAACACCAAAGATACCTGTTAACACCTGAAATAGGTTTACACGTGTGATATTAGGATGTAAGCGGTTTGCTTGCTAAATAATCCCCACAATGTGAAAGCAAATGAAATTCGAACTCTGCACCCAGTTTTTGTTTTAAAAGTTTTCTAAAAATGGTACGTGGTTTAATTATTAGAACCTGAAAAAGAATGATTTAAATGGATTATCATAATCTCAAATTACACTCATGGACGTGATGAGTGGACATAAACGGACTGCGGCTGTGTATGAAAACTTAAAAAGGAGTGTCTGACCTTCAGAGCTTTATATTGTTCAGACCCTTTGGTGGATTCAACCTCGCTGGATGAGCCGTTCTCCAAAACGTCCTGCGAAAGCCAAAAATAACCCGAGGTCATAAAACGTGTTCTTGTTGAAGCAAACAAACACGAGATGTAAAAACTAAACAAACTTTGATGACTCTGAGTGAGTGCCCGCCCAGACAGGGCAGTCCTGTGAGCTGCGACGTGCTCTTCACTGCTGACGGCAGCACCTTCAGCACCGCGGCGGCCCTGCGGAACGCCACCCCTCGCCCATCCTCGTCACTGAGCTCCGCGTTTTCAGCCAGAAGCGACAGAGCATCCTGAGGTAGAGACATGGTTTGACTGAGCACAGAAGTTCTCAGCAGGTGTCAGAGGTGTGTGCATGGGGGGTGGAGCGTACAGTGAGGGTGGTGTTATGATTCTCCAGCGTGGTTCTTCTCTGACAGGCGTAGGCTGGAACTGAAAACACAACCACTTCAGACTTATCTACCTGCAGCTCCTGAAAAACACACAGTCACAATCTGATCAAACATCCATCGCGTTCTGCTCGTTCTGGACTCGGGTCGCTGCGCAGCAGCTTGAGCAGGGAGGTGCACACATCTCCTTCCACAGCCACCTCTTCTGGGAGGACTCCAAGGAGTTCCCAGGCCAAACCAAGTCTCCCCAGCTTGTCCGTGGTCTTCCCAGGGGTCTCGTACCTGTTGGACACCTCCTTCAGTAAGCTTCCAGGGGGCGTACTTACCAGATGCCCCCTCAGTGAGTTCCTCTTGAATCTGCTCGGAGTCTCTCCAGATAACTAAACTTCTCATCCTATCTGGGAGAGTGCAGCTACCCCGCAGACAAAACCCATTTTGATCACTTCCATCCACAATCTTGTTCTTTCGGTCACTACCTAAAGTTTGTAGCCACAGGTCAAGGTAGGAGTGGAAACAGAGAGCTTTGCCTTGCAGCGCAGCTCCCTCTTCACCACAACGGACCGGCACAGAGATTGCAATACTGAGGAAGATGCACCGATCCTTCTGTCGACCCGATGCCACATTCTTCCCTCAGTCATGAGCAAAACCCTGAGATACTTCAATTCTTCCACTTGAGGCACATGACCATGACATGTAGTCCATGCACGTGACCAGACGAGATGGTATTATCTGATGGTATTTTAAAGTAGAGCTCTTCTTTCTGCCTTTGAGGTGAAGAGTGTTAGTTTATCCTTAAAACAACAAGAAGCTGTCAGAACACACGGATTATTATTTACATCATGAGGTCATGTGACTTCTCGTTCTGTGCTTAAACGCCACTAGTACTTCCTGTTTGCACCCATCACTACAGATAATGGTGTTTGGATCAACACTAGAATGTTTTGTCATCCTTTTAATTTCATTATAGTTCAGTATTTGTAGATTATCTTTTAAAGAAATCTATCACTCGGATGATCACAGCCAGCAATGCATCATGTTCTGTAGGGGTTGAATCTAGGGCTGCAACTAACGATTATATTAATAATCGATTAACCGGTCGATTAATTTTTTTAGATAAATCAATGAATTGGCCAAAAAAACCCAAATGTTTTAATTTCCACCTCTTTATTCCAAAATTGAACATTTGACTGACAGAGAAAATCGCACAAAAAACAGGTTGCTACTTGACTATTCTGTAGGGATGCACGATATTATCAGCACGGTATCGGTATCGGACGATATTAGCGATAAAGTTCAATATCGGACATCGGCCATTCCATTAAAATAACTCACCGATATAAAAGGTGCTGTCTTTGCCTGCGGCGGCAGCACAACGTGATGACGTCACGTGCGCCATACCCGAATTCAAAATGTCGGCGGTGTGGAAGTTTTATTTTTCGTTGGTGAGGATGTCGGATTCTGAAGATTTATGGACTACGTTGAGTCTCGCTACATCGTCCCCAGTCGGAGAGATTTTTCTGACGTTACCCGAGATACAAGCCGTCATTTCCAACATCAACGAGAAGCTGATAGCTGATAGCACGACTTGTTGGATGAGTTTTACCACAGACGTTGTGTTAGCCCCGTTAGCATGATTAGTCTTACGGCACAATGGATAGACAAAAACTTTGAACTTATAAAGTCTGTCCTTCATGCACAGGAGTGCAGAGGATCCACTCTGCAGCTATAGGAACCTGGAACAAGCCTCCACATGTGAGACAGCATCACAGGTGACTAATGCTAATGAATAACATTTAACACTTTTCATTTAATATACGTTAAAGTGCTATGAATATCATATGGCTGTTACTGAATATGTGTCACCAGCTGTTGCACAATTTTTGTAGTGAATAAGAAAATAAGAGGGCTTTGTTCTGTCCTCTCAACCAGCCGGTCAACGCAGATGGCCGCTTGTCCTGAGCCTGGTTCTGCTGGAGGTTTCTTCCTGTTAAATGGGAGTTCTTTCTTTCCACTGTTGCCACTGTGCTTGCTCAGGATGGGAGACTGCAACGAAGCCAAGATTCAACTTGTCTGCTGGATTCCTCAGATAGAGAACTTTACTAATTGGCTTTTATGTGAATGTTCCTGTAAAGTGCCCTGAGACAACTTTGTTGTGATTTGGCGCTATATAAATAAACTGAATTGAATTCTTTGTTCAGACAAAGAACCGTATATACAAAATCGGATAGCGGCCAAAAATCCAATATCGTGCATCCCTGCTATTCTGTTAGTAAAATATTGAATAATAATAAATAAATAAAAATTGTCAAGTAGCTTCAATAAAAAAAATTAATGTACACAAAAATATATACAAATGTATCTTTATACCTGCACAATATGTAGCTACTTTGTAAAATGTGTCCTTGAGGGAAGAGCGTAACCTGGATTAAATGTGTGGATTATTGTAACCTGGATTAAATGTG